GAATATCATAAAACTGATGTCCCTCTTATCACTTCTGACTTCATGCACTCGCAGGGAGGGAGGGTATCTGCTGGTGGGAGTGGGCAGTTGAAGAGCTCCAGGGAGAGAGGAGTGGATTTACTGCACTTTAGACAGGCAATAATGACCTTTTGGCAACTGACAGGGGTTTTATAAGAAAATTCCCTAAGGAAAGACTTGGGGACATTAGGTCAAATAAAGCAAAGGAATGAGAGAGGGGCAGGCCATTCTCTGTTTTGTGCTCACACTGCTTCCTGGGTACCCATGAGCCCTTGGCACCCAGCCTCTCTCCCTGAGAACTCTTCCCCTGGTCATTTTTCTCCAACTTCTGTCCTGTTTCTCTGGGGTTCTTTTCTTTGGGCTGATTCCCACCTCCAGATTAATTTATTACAAGGAGGCAAAAGCTGTTATATAACTCATTGTTGCTGGTTTTTGTTACTGTTTTAATAACACTTATCTTTTACAACTGATCTTGGGTAGCTTTAACCTGAGGAGACAGAGAGACATCAGTGGAGATTTCATGCAGGTTCCACACCAGTCTAAGGGGACACATATTTGGAGAGAGAGGAACATTCCCCCTGACCTTCTTGTCACACTCTATGAAGGCCAGCCCCATTCACAGCAGCATATGTATTTTTCTATAGCTCCAGAGGTACTGGGAGAAGAAACCCTAAATATAAAAGAAAGGAAACACTTTCTTCTAGGCTGAACTTTCTCATTAATTTCTATAAGCGATATAATGTTGTTGTGCCTCCTGGTAAGCCTTTTACTTAGACATGATTTTCTTTTCTCTCATTCAGTTACTTAATCTTTCTATATCTCAGTTTCCTCATCTGTAAAGTGGAGATAATAATTCAATGAGTTATGCTTGACCGGTGTGCCTCAGTTGGTTAGGTGTCATCCTGCAGTGTGAAAGGTCTCTGGTTCAGTTCCCTGTCGGGACACACGCCTGGGTTTGCGGGTGTGGTCCCTGGTCAGGATGTTTGCGTGAGGCAACCATTTGATGTTTCTTTATCACATCAATGTTTTTCTCCCTCTCTTTTTCTCTCCCCTCTCTCTCTAAAGATAAATAAACAAAATCTTTTAAAAAATTAAATAAGTTAATCCAGGTAAAGCTTTCAGAGCAGTGCCTGACACATAGTGAGAACTAAATAAATGTTAGCTATTATTATTTGCTAGAGAAAAACATCTTCTTTGATTCCTGGTTTCTGTGAGGAGAGACACCCCTACGTACTCCCAAACTTTTAACCAATTCCTTACTCTTCCTGGTGATGTGTTTTTGCCTAATGGGCTCTCAAACCATTATTCCAACATCCTTGATTGTGGGGAGCTATTCTATTAAAAAAGTCTTGATTATGAGGGGATTTTGTGTCTTTCTTTTGCATTCTCTCTTCAGAGAAGTGGAAGTGGTGACCTGGGTAGCGTGACTGTCTTGTGGTCTCAAACTTTCTCTCAGTTGGGCTGTTCTGAGGAGCAGGTTGAGTGTTCGGAGTACACAAACCCATTTTGGTTTTCACAGTAAGCTTAGTATTCTAAACCAGTCTGTCAGTAATGAAGGTTATATTTTTGTTCACCAGCTGACTCTTTTGTCTTACTTCTCGTTGGTAATGGGCTCACATTGATGATTATTGTCAGGGAGGACTGAAGCCAGAGTGTACAGAACCTTGTCTGGGGGAAAAATGAATGTGTCCAAGTGGATGTTTGTTCCCAGTGTCTGAAGGCGGAGGGCAACCCGTACTCCCTCCACAGCCCATCCACCGACTGAGCTAACTTGCAGTCCTCTTCCTAAAACGTTTACAGTCAATCAGCAATCCTTCTTCCCACATGTGCTCTCCTGAAATAAGCTTTTAAGGACATACCAACTATTCCATGCTGTGGAATGAGAAAAAAAGTGTGCAGTGGATGGATCATAAACAAGATTTTTATCCCTGAACAAGCAAAATGAAAATTCAGCAAACAAATTGCGGAATCATGATAAAGACCTAAAAGGTGAAATGGGAACACAATCTATATAACAATGAACATAAAACAAAATCCTATCAATAGTCTAGCAATTGCCTTGGTCCTGTGGCAATGAAAGGGAGCAGAATACTCCTCAAGGAAAGTGTCTCTGCTTGTAGAAATACAAGCATCTTGCATCAATATATTTACTCTGTACAGCATAGAGTGCCCTTGCATCTATTTCCTGATATGGTCTTCCTATGAACTCTATGGCGTTTTTAGAGGATTGGATTATAAAATATGAAATAAAAAAGGATATTCTGGGAGGTAAAAAAGTAATCTGACCTGTAACTAGCTGGTCAGTTGATGGGTGTCTAAACCAACAATAAATGCAAGTTCTCTCTTTTACCAGACAATCATTTCCACCACTTTTAGGATAGTTGGAATGATACTTACGATGCTTTTTCTTTTTTAGTGTCTTGGGGACTGTGACTCTGCCTTTCATATCAGGGCACTGAAAATAATCTTTTGTTGCTACTGTTTTGAAAACACGTGAATTCTTCCACCAGTGCCCAAACTCAGGGGACTTCCCTTCATAGGTTTATTAATGGGATAATTGTACATTTAAGTAGTGATTCAGAATGACAGGATTATCTGTCTAATTAGACAAAGGGCACAATAAACAATGGTTTCATTGATAAGGGTGAAAGGTATATGACTAAGAACAGAAAAACTGAGGGCTTAAAATGAGTTAGTTATGGGTTTTATCACAAACACAATCTTGTTTTCAGGATTTTCATAGATTCCCTTAGGCATGGGTCAATAAAGAAGTGAACATGTATTTAAAGTACAAATACATGTTTTTGGAAGTAGTATTCAATTCTTCTTTAAAATTTTATTATTATTATTTTTAATGATCACCTGGGGATATGCTTATTGATTTGAGAGAAAGAGGAAGAGAGAGAGAGAAACATGAATGCTTTCCCCCTGCATCCCAACCGGGGATCAAACCTGCACCCTGGGTATGTGCCCTGACTGGGGGTGATCATCCCCACAACACTTTGGTGTACTGGATGATGCTCTAACCAGGGTAGGAGTTGTCAATTCTTACCTTGGTGGGACTTCTCCTCACTGCTGGTAAATGAATGTTACCAGCAGGTTGTGCTGGCACTTCACCTATCAAGTTATTAAGACATGTTTCCCTGGTTACTATTTGGCAAATATCCTCTGTTTGCTTGCTCCTTGGGGCAAGATTCCAGAGGATACCATATTTTGTGATTGGCAGCATCTGACAAGGGTTTTCTAATGCTTTCCTTGGAAAAGCCATCTGCGTGTTTACCTCCCTAGTGCCGAGGTCTTTTTTCACTTCTGAATTTCTTTGTCTTAACTCTCTGCTCGCTAGCAGGGATTTAGGGGCAACCCCCTACTCCATTTGGCTTATTGGGACTTGCTTCCTGCAAGCTTTATTTCCTAGAGCTGAGTTTTCTCTCCACCTCCTCTATATTACTTTAAGCTGACATTCCTAGTAGATGTCATGGTCTGTAGTTGTCTCTGAACATTACTTTTGCAGGAATTCCTAAAGCATTTATTTCTTCCATCAGCTCAGATGAGATGTCCTCTGACCAGGACCTGTACTGGCCTTAAGTTTTTGTTGTTGGTGCAGTTGTTCTTATGCCACAGTCAGAGGTCAGATGGACAGCTCATTTCCTACTGAAGGGGAAGCTACTGTTTCTTCCCTGTTTTTCCTCTTTCCCCCAAATCTGTTTCCGTATTCTGAACGTAATTCTCTATTACTCAAAACTTGCACTTTTGCTTGTATGGTAGCCTTCATTCATGTCACTTTTTATCGTGACCCTTATTAGATATCACCTTAATAAGTAGCAATCCAATGAATTAATAAGACTGTTGAAATAGTCAATAAATGCAAACATTTTAAAAATAGGTACATATGGAGACCAAATAATACTAAGGGGGAAAAAGGAGGAATTATTGTGAAAAGTGTTTATTTGTAAGGTTAGTCAAGTTCTGTGCAGGCATCAATTCTTTATAGAACACAGCAATTCTGGATGTTCACTTCTTCAAAACAATCCTCGGAGATTACTTTGCTGCTGGGGCAGAGAGGTTATTTTTCACTTCTTCAGTATTAGAATTCTTGAATTTTAGCTGGACAAATGGCCTCCCAGAATAAAAACTATAATTTCCAGCTTCTCTTACAGCTAGGTTTGCCATATGACTAAATTCTGGCTAATGAGATGTAACTGGTAGTAATGTTAAATTTTTCTAGGAAGTTTTGTTAAAAGAAGAGGCTGTATTCTTCTCTTCATCTTTTTACTTGTCTGGTCGCTGAGATGCAGAAATGATGGCTAGAGATAGAACAGTGATTTTGGTCCATGAAGTAAATTTAAGAACAAACTTAGGGATCCTCTTACAAATAAGAAAGAAGCTGTTTGGGTCCTTTACAACATTAGGAGCTATATCAACATTGTCCTCTCTACTTGAGCTTTACCTTGACACAAAAATCAACTTTTCTTGTTTAGCCACTATTATTTTGTGATTTTTCTTTTGAAGGTGAACATAATATTAACTACAAAGCTTAGAAGGGCATAGTGAGTTGAATTGTATGCCCCCCAAAATATATCTAAGTTCTACTTCCACTATTTGTGAATGTGACCTTATTGAAAATTAAGGTTTTTTGTAGGTATAATTAAGGATCTTTACATGAGTTCATTTTGGATTTAGGTAGAGCTCTAAATCCAGTGATGTGTCCTTATAAGAGAAAAGAGAGGAAGACTTAAGACACGGACAGACACAGGGAAGAAGGCCAGGTAAAGGTGGAGGTAGAGACTAGAGTTATGCTGCCACAAGAGAAGGAAAGCTGGGAGCCATTAGAGGCTGGAGAGGTGAGGAAAGAGTGTCCCCTAGAGTCTGCTGATACAGTGAGAGAACACATTCCTGTTGCTTTAAGCTGTTAGTTTGTAGTATTTGTTATGACAACCCTCAGAAGTTAATACAAAGGATAACACACTTTTTTTTTCTGGAACACTGTCTAAGTCTGTATAATGGCTTGTCCCATGGAGGAGAGAGTGCCGGAATAGGTTAGACTTTGTTGCTATAGCAAGCTCAAAAGGATAACACACTTTTTAATGAACAAATAGGAGATTCATTGAAGTCATAAAATTATAATTTAAACACAGACCTGATGGTTTCTTCTTGGGCACTATGTTATGCCAGGCTTGGAAGAAGTCATTAAAACCATTAATACAGACTTGTGGCCAAGATGGAGGCGTGGGTAGATACACTGTGCCTCCTTGCACAACCAAAATAAGGACAACAAAAATTTAGAAACAAGGTAACAACCAGAACTGACAGAAAACTGAACTGTTTGGAAGCTGGACAGCCAAGGAGCTGAAATAGACACATTCATCCAGACCGTTAGGTGGGGTGGAGTAGGGCGGCTGAGTGGAGAGGGGTCATGGCACCAGAAGTGGTGACACCAGGTATGCAAGGCACTTTGGGAGCACAAGACGGCAGCGGGCAGACCCTGGGCATGGGGTGGCAACAGGCAGAACCAGCGAGGCAGTCATTGTGAAGCAAAGCACTGCACTCAAGGCGGCTGGCTGATTGGGCAGCGGTCTTACATTTGCGTGCTGGTAACTAAGGAGTGAGACAAACCCCACAACCCAGGGTTCCAGTGCCAGGAAATAAAGCCTCAAAACATCAATTGAAAACACGTGTGGGGGTTAATGTGCAGGGAAAGACTCCCAGCCTCACAGGAGAGTTCACTGGAGAGACCCACAGGGTCCTAGAACGTACACAAACCCACCCATCTGGGAACCTGCACCAGAAAGACCCAGTTTGCTTGAGGGAAGTGGTGGAAGGGACTGAGGTCTGACAGAGAGCAGAGCAAGTGCCATTGTTACCTCTCTGACCCCGCCCAAACACACAGAGTCACGACCCAGCAACTGGGTTGCTCTGCTCTGGTGAACACCTAAGGCTTTGCCCTTCAGTACATAACAGGCACAGCAAGGCAAAAAACAAAAAAGGACTGAAACAGAAGAACAGATCAAATCCAGAAATAATACAACTAAGCAACCAAGGGAATAGCCAACCCATTAGATACACGGTTCAAAGCACTGGTGATCAGGATGCTCAAAGAATTGGCTGAATTTGGTTGCAAATTAGATGAAAAAAATGAAGGCTACACTAAGTGAAATGAAGGAAAATGAACAGAGAACCAATAGTGATGGGAAGAAAACTGGGACTCAAATCAATGGAGTGGACCAGAAGAAAAAAAAAAACAAACAGAAAAGAATGAAGAAGCAAGAATTTTTAAAAAAATGAGGAGAGGCTTAGGAACCTCTAGGACATCTTTAAACACTCCAATGTCCGAATTATAGGAGGTACCAGAAGGGGAAGAGGAAGAGAAACAAGTGGAAAGCTTATTTGAACAAATAATAAAGGAGAACTTCCCCATTCTGGCAAAGGAAATAGACTTCCAGGAAGTCCAGGAAGCTCGGAGAGTCCCAAAGAAGTTGGACCCAAAGAAGAACACACCAAAGCACATCATAATTATATTAGCCAAGATAAAAATGAAGGAGAGGATCCTAGAAGCAGCAAGAGGTATGGTTACAGTTACCTACAAAGGAGTTTCCACCAGACTGTCAGCTGATTTCTTAAAAGAGACCTTAAAGGCCAGAGAGGGCTGGAAAGAAATATTCCAAGTCATGAAAGGCAAGGACCTCCAACCAAAATTGCTCTATTCAGCAAAGCTTTCATTTAGAATGGAAGGGCAGATAAACTGCTTCTCAGATAAGGTCAAGTTCAAGGAGTTCATCATCACCAAGCCCTTATATGAAATGTTAGAGAAACTTATCTAAGAAAAAGAAGATAAAAACATGTACAGTAAAATGATAGCAAACTCACAGTTATTAACGACCACACCTAAAACAAAAGCAAACTAAGCAAACAACTAGAACAGGAAGAGAACCACAGAAATGGAGATCACATGGAAGGTTAGCAACAGGGGAGTTGGAGGAGGAAAGAGGAAGAAAAGGTACAGAGAATAAGTAGCATAGATGGTAGGTAGAAAATAGACAGGAAGGGCAAGAATAGTATGGGAAATGTAAAAGCTAAAGACACATGGACATGAACTAAAGTGGGGGAATGTGGATGGGAGGGGTGTGTAGTGTGGAGGAGAATGAAGGGGGGAAATGGGACAACTGTAACAGCATAATCAATAAAATATATTAAAAAACAAAAAACCCATTAATGCATAATTTAGAAAAATGTCATTTTCTCTCACACCATATTTATCTTGCTGGAATTCTCCACAGAACTGCTCTATTGTATTGTATAAGAAATCCATTGTGCTTATATGTAGCTATAAGTTTCTTTTTGAAGATTCATCTTCTGGCTAATATTCATCAATGGAAATCAAATTAACAGCTTTTGCTTAACATGATACAACTTTTCCTGGGCAAATGAATGAAGTGTTTTCTTCTCTTCAGAAGGAACTCAGGTTATGTAATAACAGAAAAACGCGCCATTAACTTTGCCGAGAAAAGATCATGATTACAAACACTAAATAAATAATTAGAATGACTTATTAATTTTTCAGAATGATGAACACTACATCTAGAGTCAGTTCTTTATGCAGCTGAGTACTGACAGCCAGGGTAAGGCTGGGTTGATTTGCCACATGTGCAGAACCTTCGGTGGCAGTGCTCTGTGTGTTTGTGTGGGGCTGGGATCTGCAGAGAAGTGCTTTATTGTTATAAACACTTTGGTAAATTATTCCACCTAGTAGTAACTCACTAGTTTGTGAGTGACTCTCAAAGTGTCGCCTGGTGGGTTAAGGAGGACTCTCCTTCCCTTGTTAATTGCGATGACATGGATCTTCTCACTCTCTCCTTTTTCCCACTTCTAAATACCTGAAGAGCTTCCTGTTGTAGTTGAAATGTAATACATATTTCTTTTTTAATATATTTTATTGATTATGCCATTACAGTTGTTCTGTTTTCCTCCTTCATTCCCCTCCACCCTGCACATCCCCTCCCCCAACATTCCTCCTTTAGTTTATGACCACGTATCTCAAGTTCTTTAGATTCTATATTTCCCATACTATTCTTGCCCCCCCTATCTATTTTCTACCTACCGTCTATGCTACTTATTTTCTGTACCTTCTCCCCCCTTCTCCTTCTCCCACTCCTTGTTGCTAACCCTCCATGTGATCTTCATTTCTATGGTTCTGCTCCTGATCTAGCTGTCCTCTTAGTTTGCTTTTGTTTCAGGTGTGGTTGTTAATAACTATGAGTTTGCTATCCTTTCACTGTTCATCTTTTTTATCTTCTTTTTCTTAGGTAAGTCCCTTTAACATTTCATATAATAAGGGCTTGGTGATGATGAACTCCTTGAATTTGACCTTATCTGAGAAGCACCTTATCTGCCCTTCCATTCTAAATGAAAGTTTTGCTGGATAGAGTAATCTTGGTTGTAGGTCTTTGGATTTTCTGACTTGGAATATCTCTTTCCAGCCCCTTCTTGCCTGTAAGGTCTCTTTTGAGAAATCTGCTGACGGTCTGATGGGAACTCCTTTGTAGGTGACTGTCCCCTTATCCCTTGCTGCTTCTAGGATTCTCTCCTTCATTTTAATCTTGGCTAATGTAATGATGATGCGCCTTGGTGTGTTTCTTCTTGGGTCCAACTTCTTTGGTACTCTCTGAGCTTCCTGGATTTCCTGGAAGTCTATTTCCTTTGCCAGAATGGGGAAGTTCTCCTTTATTATTTGTTCAAATAAGTTTTCCATTCGTGGCTGTTCCTCTTCCCCTTCTGGTACCCCTATTATTCGGATGTTGGAACATTGAAAGATGTCCTGAAGGTTCCTAAGCCTCTCCTCATTTTTATGAATTCTTGTTTCTTCATCCTTTTCTGTTTGGTTATTTTTTTCCTCTTTCTGGTCCACTCCATTGATTTGAGTCCAAGTTTCCTTTCCATTACTATTGGTTTCCTGTGCATTACCATTCATTTCAATTAGTTTAGCCTTCATATGTTTCTCTAATTTGTGACTATAATCAATCAGTTCTGTGAGCATCCTGATCACCAGTGTTTTGAACTATGCATCTGAAAGTTTGGCTATTTCTTCATCGCTTAGATTTATGGGCTCTGGGGCTCTGAGTTGTTCTTGAGCCATGTTTTTATCTGTTCGTGCCTGTTATGTATGAGAAGAGGTGCCTTAGGTGTTCACCAGGGCGGGGCCTCCCAGGTCGCTGGTTTGTGACGCTATATGTGGGGGTGGGGTCAGAGAGGGACAATGGCGGTCTCCTCTGCCTCTTCCCACCACTGGGGCCTGCATGGTCTGTCTCACTGCTCACTCCTTCACTGGTTTATTGGTTTGGCCGAAGGTTTTGTTGTTGTCAGACTTCTGTATAGTTCAATTTTCTGTGGTTTGGCTGCGTTTTTGTTGTTAAAACTTTGTTGTTTTTAAACTTGGTTGTGTGAGAAGGCGCAGTGCTTCCACCTACGCCTCCATCTTGGTGGAAGTCTTGTAATACATATTTCTTAACCCAACTGTGTGCCATAATGATGTGACTCTTGCCTTTCAGCCTGGCTCTTCCACCCCAGCCCCTGTTACTGCAGACACAGGTGCCTTTCTTCAGGCCCCTGAGTGAGTCCCACTGTGTCTCAGCAGTTCCCGGGTGACGTTCCCTCTGCCAGACACTCCTAGCTCCTTATCTGGTGAGACCCAAGCTTCAGACAGGCTTTTACTTCATGGCACTTATCATCATAGTTTGGTTTACTTTCCATATAGCCTTCACTTACCTATTTAATACTTGTTTTTTTATTCCACTATCTCCCTAAAGAAGGCACTATGGTTCTTGCTCAGTACTCTGTCTTCCCTCTGAATGTAGCACCATATGTGGGACAGAGCAGACACCCAGAGAATATTGGTGAATGAATGAATTAAATCAACATTTTTTAGTGAGAATGCTTGATGTACCTTAATAACTCAAAAAGTGACATCAGGCTAACTGAAGACAAAAATGGAATTATAACGAGGAAAATCTAGGTTGATGATATAAGATGGGCAGTGTTTCTCCATCCTGGCTGGCCATTAAAATCACCCAAGAAGCTTCTATGAAATGATGATGTCCAGACCCCACTCCAGCA